GTGAGAAGGAGCCTCGCCCGAGGGAAGGGCCGCCCGCCCGGCTGTCCCCCGCCTTCTTCCCGAGAGGAGGAGCTGCGGGAAGCGGGGAAGGGAAGCGGGGCTCCTTCAGTCGCCCCTCCGGGACCTCCCGCTCACTTTTCGCACCCTCCCTCTCCCCTCGATCCTTCCCCCCCCCAGCGCATTTCCTGCACCAGGTGACCTCCGAGTGCCACTTCCAGTCCAACGGGAGCGAGGCCGGATCGGGGCCACCTTCTCCTCCTCCGCGGGTGCGCTTCCTCGACCGCTACTTCTACGACCGGCAGGAGTTTGTCCGCTTCGACAGCGACCGCGGGGAATACGAGGCCCTCACGACCCTCGGGGAGGACCAAGCCCGTTACTGGAACAGCCGGAGGGAGATCCTGGAGGACGCGCGGACGATGGTGGATGCCTTCTGCCGCCACAACTACGGTCTTGCGGAGAGCTTCGCCTCGGGGAGGAAGAGTAAGCGGGTGCCCGGCGGCGGGAGGGCAAGCGGGGCAGGAGGGAGCGTGAACTGGGGAGGGAAGGGGAGCACCCCTGGTCCCCAAAGCTGTGGGGCCTGCCGGCAGCCCCCTCCGGACAAGGACAGGGAAGGGAAATAAGTGGCGGGAGGAGCTCCTTTCTTACCACTGTGGACCAGACAGAACATTCATTTATTTCTCTATTCATGTATTTAGTTTCCCAGTAAAGCACGGGGGGGGAACATGCCCAGGAAGTGGGGGGCTGAGACCCATTACTTCCCTCGGGCCTTCAACATCCCCAAAGAGTCTGTCAACCAAGAAAAGAGGAACATTTGGGGGGTTTTGCGGGGGAGGGGATGGAAAGGGCCGGTTCTATCCGTTGAACCCCTTCGAGTTCTACTTCCTCGGATTGTTTTCCTGGTCTGCTCTCTGTGTCTCAGGCATCTTCTTTAAAAATATTTATTAATAAAAGAAAACATACAAACAACAGCACCTTCCTTCATCCTTTGGGACTAGGTGGCCAGTAATATCAACTTATATCCCTTTTCACCCCATCCCTCTCCAAAATCCATTGACTCTTTCCCCATAGAGCCTTTCCCCTCCAAAAAGACATACAGTACTCAGGCATCTTTCATGGGCCCAGATCGCAGAAGGGGCCATAGGTAGCATTGTGCCTGAGAAGGAACAGCGTTGGGTATTATCATCTCTCTGTCCTGAGTTCAAATGTCATTTCCACCATTGTGTGTGTTTTTTGTTTGTTTGTTTTTTTTGTTCTTTCCATTCGTTCATTTGTTCGTTTGTGTCCCACTCCCATTAGTGTCACAGCACTGCTCTGGGCGGATTACAACTTGTAAAACAGAAAATAAAGATAAAGATATTAAAACCGACAGCAATAACCCTAATAAAAACCAGGTGGCAACCACTAATACCTGAATGGATGGAAAAAAGAGGGGAGGGAAGAAGAGGAGGGGAAAGGAAAAGGAGTTGGGGAAAGGAGGTCATCTGGGGTCAGTGTGGAAAGCCCCCCCAAAAAAGCCATGTCTTGAATTGATTCCTAAAAGTCCACAGGGAGGGGGCTTGGCGGAGCTCCTCCGGAAGCTGGTTCATCAAGTGGGAGCCACCACAAAGAAGGCCCTACCTCTTGGTAGAGGATTCATGGGCCTGCCTCGGGATGCTCACCCGAAGGAGCCTCGACTGGGATGATCTTGTGGGTTGGGCAGATGACATGAAGGAGAGATGTTACAAGACGTCACATGGGACTCCTGACCTGGGAATCCCAAACTATGGAGGGCTTTCTATGTACATATATATATATACATACACACACCACCCAGTTAGGGCGAAAGCACTACTCTACAGTGATTTAACAAATAAAATTCAAGGAGGATTAAAAACACAGGGAGAGCAAAAAACCTAATGGGGGAAAGGCAGTTTACAACATAGCAGGATGGGAGATTGATGAGACATTTAAAAAATCTAAAAATAGGAAAATTAAAGTAAAAATTACAAAAAATAAAAGAATTTTTAAAAATCAATCCAGATCAGTACACAAGGTCTCCCAAGAAAGGCCAGCCGAAGAGGCAACAGTGGCTCCAGCCTCTTCAGTTCTCCCACTCTATCTGATTCAAACCTCTTACTCACAGCCCCACTCCTTCTTAACCCCACCCCTTTAGGTGGAACCAAAATTTGTAAGGATTACAGAAGGGACAGGTGTGGGGAAGATAACAGGTTATTGCGAAATGACATTCTTTGATCTGGAAGTGGGTTTTCTTTCCCAGTAAGATAGACAGGCTGAGGGAGGGGGACGAGCTCTTTGTCCCTCCAACCCAAGAAGTCCTTGTTCCTTCCTCCCCTCCTCTCCCATCTTTTGATATTCCTCTTGTGCCTTCTTTGCCTCCCTTCCAGTTCAGCCCCTGGTGGAGATCACCCCCTCGGAGAATTCCCCCAACACTTTACTGATTTGCACCGTGGACGGATTCTTCCCCTCGAAGATCAAAATCACCTGGTTCCGAAACGGGAAGGAGGAAGACGAGAGCCGAGTGTTCACCACGGACCTGATCCGGAACGGGGACTGGACTTTCCAGATGGCGGTGATGCTGGAGGCCCAGCCGGAGCGGGGAGACGTCTACGCCTGCCAGGTGGAGCACGCCAGCTTCCCGGAGCCCGTCACCGTCCAGTGGGGTAAGACATGAACTTAAGTCCATCCTCACATGCACCAGCTCTAATCCCCTTTTTCTTTGTCATCTGGGTCTTGGTGGGGGGAAAGAGGGGTGGAGGCTGAGGCTGAGCCTGGCCCCCCATCTGACCCCCCAACGTCTTCTCTCTCTGCAGAGCCACAGTCGGAGTCGGCCAGGAGCAAGATGTGGACAGGGGTGGCTGGGGTTGTGCTGGGGCTGGTCTTTCTGGCTCCCGGCCTCATCCTCTACCTGAAGAATAAGAAAGGTAGGAGGGGGGGAGGGTGGGGCAATACCAGCAGAAATTTGTGTATGTGTGTGTGTGTGTAAGGGAGAGAGAGAGGCAAAAGCTCTCACAAGCTCAGTTTGTAAGAAATAGATCATGATTCTTTCTGGGAGTAGGATAGTCTTCCCAAACTACAGTGGTGCCTCGCAAGACGGTGTTAATTTGTTCCGCGAAAATCGCTGTTAAGTGAAAACATTGTCTTCTGAAACACGTTTTGCCATTGAAATGCATTGAAAACCTGATAATCCGTTCCAATGGAACGGATTGTCATCGTAAAGCGAAAATTGCCATAGGAAACATCGTTAAACAAAATGCGGTTCCCAAGCGAAGACAGCCGTCTAACGAAACAGAGACTATTAAAAGACTCGTATAGCGACGCAAGACCAAGCTGTCAAAAACATCGTAAAACGAAAAACAGGGACCTGAAATTTAACCGTCTTGTGAGGCAAGGTACATAGCATCGTAAAGCGAAAATCGCCCATAGGAAACATAGTTAAATGAAGAGCAATACTGCTCCGAAAACCTCATCGTAAAGCGAATTCGTCGTTATGCGAAGCAATCGTCTTGTGAGGCACCACTGTAGAAGAAAATGTCAGGTCATTTTACGAGATTTCAGGATGGGTTAAAGATGAGACTTTTTGCACATTGTTCAGTTCACAATCATTCTGGGAAAGATGGGAAAGAGGAAGACCAGGTGAGCTCAGGAGAACTTACTTCCGCGTTATCTGGAAGCTGAATCATGGCAACTGGACTTCTTTCTTATGAGGCTGAAATCTTTCTATAATATTCGGAGTAGCTTCTTCAGTCTTCAAAGCTATTTGGATGAGGAGGAAAACATTTCGATCTCCTGAGAAAGAAGCCCAGTTGACATGACTCACCTTCCAGGTAACCTCACCTGGAGGACTGAGAATCTTCACAAATATATATTACTTCTGAGTTGTCATGCAAGTCTTACGCAGGATTGACCAAGGACTGTAACCTGATGGACACAGTGAGGAGAAGAAACATTTGCAGGATGATGTTCTAATTTCTGCTGTCCTGAAACTGTGCAGAAAACTGTGTGCACCTCAAGGTGAATCAGAGGTCCAAATGGCGGGGTTGCTGTGAAGATCTTTCTGAAGAGCTGAGAAGGCCCTTCTGTAATGTGGGGTCTTTCCCTCCTTAGTAGCCAAGAGGTGCTGATGGGAAAGGGGGCAGCCCCATAGAAGGGCTCTGGATTGTAACTGATCCTTCTTTCTTTTCTTTTCTTTTCTTTTCCAGGCCATGTCATCCCTCAGCCTTCAGGTAATTTTTCCTTCCTACTTTTCTCTTTCAGAAAAAAAACTCTCGGTCATGGCATGGGTAGTCTTGCACTGTATCTTTGGGGCTCATCCACACCTCCTTTTGACTCCTATTTAAGGGGTCCTTCATGCTCCTGTTGACTGGGGTTTGTTGCAGAGGCCCAAACAATGTTACCGGGGTTGCAAACCAACCTTTCCTGTTTCCCCTCCTTTTAAAGATTGTTTTCTCTTGTTTGCAAATAGAGTTTTTCTTTTTGCACCCCTGTCGCCTGATATGCTTGTTTGTTCTGCCCTCTGGAACAGGCCCCTATCCTATGGGGCTGTATATAATTATCAGTTGTGGGAGTAAGAGGAAACTGACCAAAGTTGTCAATTACACAAGACTGAGTGAACAGGTATAAGAACCCAGGAAGAAGCGGTTCTAGGTCTCTGGGGAAAATGGACCAGGGTTCCAACTTAGATTAACCTCAGCCATTGATCCTCACTAGAATGAGCCCATAGAGTCTGTCAAGCAGCAAACGAGGAGCATTAGATTTTGTTGGGGGAAAAGGGATCAGCTCCACTGGAGTTAAATGAGTGTCCTCTTTTCCTGAGTACATCCCAGGCCTAAGAGAAAAGAAAAAAAATGTTCTGGTGACTTAAAAATGAATTGACATATTTTAATGTGAGATTTGGTAGACAAGTCCACTTTTCCAGAAAAATGTTAAAATACAGCAGTTACTCTTTAAGGTGAGGTGCTCAACATTGTTGTCATCTATTTTTCTGTGGTTTTTCACCCAATACGCTAGCAGAAACCTATAGGGCTCTCTATTCTAAACTAGGACCTCCCCGAGTAGCTCCACTAGAGTTAAATGACCCACCTGGACGTGTATTCAGATGCCTTGCATGGCTGTTTTCTGCAAAAGGGTTGCAGATTGGGAGCGATTCCTGTTCAAGGACATCAGTCAGTGTCCTCTGATACCAATTTTGTCTCTCTTAAATGAGGTTCATCTGAGATTGTTCTCTGCCTCTCTTGGTCCCCTTCACTGTTTCGTCTCTCTGTTTTCCTCCTCTGTCTATAGTGGCCCTCATGGACTAGGCTTCCCCAGTCCAATGGCATCGCATGATAGGGAGAAGCAGCCTTCCTTCCCAGCTATGGCCACCGTTCTTTCACTTAGAAGAGCCCGACGCTTGGATGGGGAGGCACTGAAGAAGCCGAGGAAGTCCAGCCACCAAGGACTCACAACATCCTTCCCCTCTTCCTGTTCCAGAAGCCTGAACTTGTCTCTTGTTCATCCTGTCTCCTGCTTTGGCTGGGCTTTTGCACATCTCTTGCACTTTGGGACTACAGGTAGGGTAGCAAAGTCCTGGTTCAATGCATGTTCCTTGGGATTTGGGGGCCAAAATCTTGAGGCCAAGGAGGTGTTGTTGTTCTTGGGACCTTGTGAGGTTCCAAAAGTGGGGAATGCAAGGGTTGGAAGGGAGGGCAGAATGGCTCCTCCCGGGCTAGAGGACTGCAGAAATACCATCAGGATCCTCATCCCCTGCTGGTCTGCCAGGTCTTTCCCCTCTCCCTTCTCCTCTCTCCCCGCATACCCTTCCCCTCCTCAGTATTGATGTTCTTCTTTTCACTCTGGGACTGGGGGGAGGCTCTTAGCAGACAGTGCTGGTTCCTGGATCCCAAAGGAGGGTGGAAGGCAGAGGTGGGGGGGCTTTCTTATATGTATGCTTTGGGGAAAAGATGGATCGATGTGTGAATGTATGAGTGTGTGTGTATGGGTGCCAGTTGTACAACTTAACGAATTGTGTGATTTTCTCTTTTCTTTTTGTTTTCCTTCTTGGTATATGCTTTTGATTTGCTCATTGGTCAAATGTTTAATCAGTTCTTAGGATGGGTCTTTTTTACCTGCTATAATCGCTTACAAATGATCTGTTAATAATACGGTTGTAAATTTTTGACTTATTTCCTGCCAATGTAAGTCTTGCTACTGTGATGTCCATGCAACCCACTAAACTCAAAATAACAAAAAATGCAAACCTGTGTAACAATTTGTGGTTTGTGTCGTCAGCAAGAAACCCTTCCGACTTATTTCATGTGTCTTCACGAGGTTGAGAAGGGGAGGAAGGGAAGATGGATGTCAGAGATGGAGGGTGGGCATGGTAAACCCCACATCCTCTGGGCTGGGCAAGGTTCTGCTCTTTCCTCCGGCTGATTGTCGCCCTTCCCACAAGGCTCAGCTTCATGTCAAGCGACTCTGAAAAGTTCGGCTACAATAAAACAAGGTTGGGGGGGGGCTGTCCCACGTGCTGAAGCCATTTTGGAGCCAGAGTGTGTATTCGCTACCTCTCCAAGGCCCCAGGGGCCGGGCCAGCTCCCCCAAAGCCCCTCACTTGTGCTGGTTTTCCTGCAAGGGATATGAAGGGGCATTCAGACTCCCATCTGGGCCGTGACACCCGCAGCCCCCTTGACCAGCAGCCACCAGCACAGCTCTTGAGTGGCAACATTTATCGTCCACATTTCAATATTCTGCTGCTCTCCAGATCCTCTTTTAGGAGTTTAGCCATGGCTGGAATGATTCCTTGATGTCCCTCAGTGTCCATCAGACCTGGTGGCGTCAGAGACAGAGAACACAAAGGAGCTGAGTTCCCTTTGATAATTTGCAGGATGTGACCTAACCCACTGCCCTCCCACCCACGCACCCCGTCATAGCTGCCAGAGGGCAGTTCCCATCACCCTCTATAACTGTGTTGGCTGCAGGATAATGGGAGTTTGAATTCCCTTGTTGTGGAGGTTCAATTGGCCCTCAGCCCTGCTAAGCTTCCAAAACATGGCTCTTTACCCAGGCTTTCCCAAATTTCACCCCTTTGCAATATTAATTAAATACCGACTTTATGCTGGCCCAAAGAGTTTTTTTTAAATAGGCTTGATTTTTTTTTTTTTAAATTGTTGTATAGTATGTTTTTGTTATTTCCTGGAAGCCGCCCAGAGTAGAGGCATGTCCACTAATTAGGTAGGGGTACAAGTTTAGACAAATAAAAATTAAAAGAAAAAAAGGTGTGTTTTGATCTGTCTGGAGGATGCCTGCTTAAAGGAAAGGCACCGCAGGCCAGCTGGAATGATGGAGGGAGGGTGTGATGTCAAAGGACCACAGAGGTCTCTTCCTTCTGAGCCAGAAAGGCCATTCTTTTGGGGCTGGAAGTGGGGGGGGTTGACCCAGGCAAGTCCTTGCATCCTTTCCCCACAACTGTTGTCCGCATTCAAAAGGTCCTGTGCACACCACTTTTCCTGGTCCCCCAGGGGTCATGGGCTCCTTCCTTTTCTTCTTTCTTCTCTCAGGCACGACAGGGCCCTGAGACATGGTGTGCCACAGGTTAAATCAGGTCCAGCTTGTAGGTAAAAGGGGTACATCGGACAAAGAGCTTGTGGACATGTGGCCTGAAGTGGCCTGCAGAGGTGTGGCCTGTGGACCTGTGGAATGGTCGGCCTCTGGAAGGGCATCGAGGAAAACCTTTTGGTTTGCTACATCCGCAGCACAATGGACCGTTTCCTGTTGGCAAAAAAGGGCTGAGGATTTTCT